ATTTTCTATTTTCATGCCGCCACACAAGGCTCCGTGTAGTTATTTAAATTTGTTGGACGTCTGTTAAATGGAAAACAGCTTTCTTTCGACGTTGGTCTACAGAAATCCGTTTTCTATTTTCATGCCGCTTCGTGTATCCCCTGGTTTGTTATCTCTATTTGTTTCTAGGAATTTAAATATTTGTTCCTGTCATAATGATTTAAGGTCGGAGTTGAATGTCATTAAAATGCATTGCCATTGATAGAAGATTTAGTCCTAGCATTGGTGACAGGATTTATAACAAAAAAAAAGTGAAATGTACTTAATTACGTGAAAATACTTATTCCGATACTATAGAATATGGTTACTATATTCTTAGAGCATTTCTAAACAAATAGATAAATCACATTAACTATAATGTAACGTTTCCTCCCCATTATAATCCAAGACTCTTTATTAACGGTTTCAAAGAATAAAATGATAATAAGTTATAAAACTTCATGTGGTATAATTTTACAGAAAGGAAAATATTTTAAACGTTAAGGAAAATAAAAGAAAATGCTATGGATAAAGATAGAGTCAGCTTTGACTGAACATGTAGTTCGTTCTGTTCATTGGCATCATCAGATTCATCATCAAACGAACTAAATCTTTGGAATGATGAAAATCGTTCTAAAGAAAGATCCGGGTATGATAAAGATATATTTTGTGAAATCTATTTATTAAAATCTTGTATACACGTCCACATACTGTTAACTACATAAAGTTCTGGACAAAACACACCTACAAACATAACAAATCCAGACTGTTTGGGCATTCTGAACAAAATACACCTATAAACATAACAAATCCAGACTGTTTGAGCATTCTGAACAAAACACACCTATAAACACAATAAATCCAGGCTCTCTGGGTATTCTCGACTAGACATATCTATAAACACAATAAATCCAGGCTCTCTGGGTATTCTCGACTAGACATATCTATAAACATAATAAGTTCAGACTCTCTGGATATTCTGGACAAAACATATCTATAAACATAATAAGTTCAGACTCTCTGGATATTCTGGACAAAACATATTTAGAAATGTAATAACTCCAGACTCTTCGGTATTTTGGACAAAATATACCTATAAAAATAATACATCCAGAATCTTGGGATTTTCTGGCAAATGATGATGACTGTCACCACCATAACACATCTTACCGAATATGAGTGTTTATAATTTGGTTGTATTATAGTTGTTGTATATATTACATATTTTATTCTATACATAGTATGAAATTACTGCTCTTTCGTCTCAATATATTTCTATATCGTATTACTGTAATATCTTAAAAGGTAATAGTCATACAAATAACAGATTTTTAAAGGTACGTACCATATTAACTTCAGATATGCTGTCGAAACTGGCTATGGTAAGATCCATTCCGATGTAAAGAGGAGGTCCTAAAAAGAATAAGAGGAAATTCTAAATAAATTAACACAACATAAGGAGTTTTCGTTAATTATTTAAATGAGTAAAGACATTTTATTTTCAGAATTTTGAAAATTTGCTATAAATTTTAGGACATAAAAAAAGAAAGTGTACATAAATGTTCAAAGACTATAATTCTTAAAGGTGACTGAACATTATAAATGCATCTAAACAAATGTTCACACCAGTAAAAGTTTTGTCAAAGTATTGTATCACACCTAAAGAAATGTTTACACCAGTAAAAGTGTTGTCAGAGTGTGTTATATTATCTAAACAAATGTTCACACCAGTTTATAACACACTCTGACAACACTTTTACTGGTGTAAACATTTCTTTAGGTGTGATACAATACTTTGACAAAACTTTTACTGGTGTGAACATTTGTTTAGATGCTATAACACACTCTGACAACACTTTTACTGGTGTAAACATTTGTTTAAATGTTATACAATACTCTGACAAAACTTTTACTGGTGAGAACATTTCTTTAGATGTTATACAACACTCTGACAAACGTTTGACTGTTACGAACATTTGTTTAGATGTTATACAACACTCTGACAACACTTTGGCGATGTGAACATTTCTTCAGATGCTATAACACACTCTGATAACACATTTGCTGGTGTAAACAATTCTTTAGATGTTATACAACACTCTGACAACACTTTAACTGGTGTAAACAATTCTTTAGATGTTGTACAACACTCTGACAACACTTTGACTGGTATTAACATTTCTTTAGATGTTATACAACACTCTGACAACACTTTTAGCGGTTCGAACATTTCTTTAGATGTTGTACAACACTCTGACAACACTTTAACTGGTATTAACATTTCTTTAGATGTTGTACAACACTCTGACAACACTTTAACTGGTGTTAACATTTCTTTAGATGTTATACAACACTCTGACAACACTTCAACTGGTGTTAACATTTCTTTAGACACTATACAATACTTTTACTGGTGTGAACATTTGTTTAGATGTTATATTGAACATCAGTAACACCGATGTAATCACCATAATGTGGAGACTTTATTCTTCACCATGTACATCAGTAACACCAATATAACAGAAGACAACTAGTCAACCACACCACACACTCTAAGGATAAGGAATGGAAATTTAGTCTTTCAAACATACTCACAGCTAAAAGTGTGGGAAATACTTTATGGCATCGCACGAATTCGAAAATAGCTCACAAGCTCAGAAATCTAGAGCTCTACCACACGACTAGTTTAGCACTCATCAACCAATAAGAGACTTTTGTTAGGTACTATGAGCCTAATCTTATTACAACTCATTCAAAGTTTGAATCGAGTTCGTGAAGAAAAATTTCATAACTAAAATATTGATCCTCAGATCACATAGTTATCCGTCCGTTTTATAACAGTGGTGGGGCTGTTAACGTCTTTAACACCTGGAGTTTTATCCAACAACTGTTTCTTATTTGTTTGATCACTAAAGTTGGAATTAATGTGTATAACACACTTTATATTTGTGAGGCTACACTTAGGAATATTATTATTGTGGCTTCAATGTATTCATGCAGTTATATATTAAGTTATGCATACGGACAGTTAATTACGAATAATTTGGTATCTTCAGTTTGACAAAATAACATTAATATTAAGTTCTCGTATTCAAGTATATACAGGATTAAACAGGTTAGATTCTTTCATTTCAACCCTAAACGTCAGCAGCCACTCCAATCGCTTTTCACTGTTTCTCCCAGGAGTAGCAATATTAACATTAGTTTTCACAATAGCTGGTAGTACATCTTAACAGAATCAGCATTATCTGTTATAAACACCACTTTCACAATAGCTGGTATTACAACTTAACAGAATCATTATCTGTTAGAAACACTACTTTTACAATAGCTGGTAGTACATCTTAACAGAATCAGCATTATCTGTTAGAAACACTACTTTTACAATAACTGGTAGTACAACTTAACAGAATCAGCATTATCTGTTAGAAACACCACTTTTACAGTAGCTGGTAGTACAACTTAACAGAATCAGCATTATCTGTTAGAAACACTACTTTCACAATTAGCTGGTAGTACAACTTAACAGAATCAGCATTATCTGTTAGAAACAACTTAACAGAATCATTATCTGTTAGAAACACTACTTTTACAATAGCTGGTAGTACAACTTAACAGAATCAGCATTATCTGTTAGAAACACTACTTTTACAATAACTGGTAGTACAACTTAACAGAATCAGCATTATCTGTTAGAAACACTGTTTTCACAATAGCTGGTAGTACAACTTAACAGAATCAGCATTATCCGGTTTCGATACCCGTGGTGGACTCAGCACAGATAACCCATTATATAATTTTTTTGCTCAATTAACAACAACAAACAAAATGCTAAAATCTAAATTAAATTGTGATTGTATACTAAAATTTAGAGTCAGTGAAGCTTTATAGACCAAGTAACATATGATAACAGGTAGAAACAATATACTTACCACCGAAGTCGGGTCTCAATCGAATGTCATAGTTACCTAATATATCCTTTAGTATGTGTGTGACGTTGTCCAATTGGCCAGGTAGACGAGGAAACTGACAAAAGCTGTGATAAAACAAAAAGTCTGTAACGTAGTAGTTAACGGTTTTAAACAGTTATCTTAAAATATCGTGAATACATTCTGCCAACAAATGCCCTAATCTACTATTTTATCTAACATAACACCATTTGTTCCGCTATTTTAAGTAATACCTGAAACACAGAATAAAATGTGAAGGGGACATCGATGAGCGTATAATAACCAGATGCTGTAATTAGCTGAAATCATAGGTTTCAATCTTCTTTCAAATTAACGTTCAAACATTACATTAATATTTGTATAAAGACATATTAAAACTTATAACATTTGGTATATGACATCACACATTAAAACTTGTAACATTCGGTATATGACATCGTACAATAAAACTGATCATAACTGATATAAGATACAGTATATTCACACTTGATTTGACATCCTACATTCACACTTATCACACTTTCTTTATGACAAAAAAGTTAGAAGTGGAAGATATTTCTTCTCTTTGAAAGGAAGACCTCTACAAACTATTGTATGAAAAACTGAACAGTTAATAGTCAATGAAACTAAACTTAATACAAATATTAACACACATAGTTGTATCACGTAAGTAGATATACCTGTTTATCTAAACACGTGCTACTAACATCATTATATGATACTTAACACATATACCTGTTTATCTAAACACGTGCTACTAACATCATTATATGATATTTAACATATATACCTGTTTATCTAAACATGTTCTATTTAACATCATTATATGCTACTTAACACACATACTGTTTATATAAACACGTGCTACTTAACACACATACTATTTATCTAAACATGTGCTACTTAACATCATTATATATGATACTTAACATATACTTGTTTATCTAAACATGTTCTATTTAAAATCACTATGTGGTACTTAACACACATACTGTTTAGATAAACACGTGCTACTTAACACACATACTATTTATCTAAACATGTGCTACTTAACATCATTATATATGATACTTAACAT